ATCCGCCTCTGCTACAGTGCTACATACTGTAAAATGTTTGGGTTTTGTATGTACAGAGTGATTTGTTAGTCGGAGAAATCTTTAAAAGTTTTCAAACTGAGAACAAAGAATAAGAAAAGCTGACAGTGATTGCACGCCGACGGAAGGCTATTCAAAGCATCTCCATGGCTATGGAGAGACAGAGCTTCTGCTGGAAGAAGATTCCACACGTGGACTTTGTTGGCGAGATGGCGGATGACTATGGGGGTCCCAAAAGGGAATTTCTTAGGTATTATCTATTTTATTTTATTTAACAATATAACTACTGTAGAAATGGTTATTTAATTTGATCATCTGGTTCCAGGCTTCTGATGGCAGAAGTACACTCCTCATTAGGAGTGTTCGAGGGTCAGCCTGGGAACATGTTCTTCACCTAGGATGTAGAGGCACTTTCGAAAAATAAATATTTTCTGGCCGGGAAGCTGACCGCATGGACAATCTTTCACGATGGCCCGGGCCCTCGAGGACTTAATAAGACCCTTTACCACATGATGTGTGGTCAGAGAGCAGATGTCTCTGCACAGCTGCCAGATCTGCCTGTTGACTCCAACGTTCAACAGAACATTGAAAAGGTAATGTGTAAATGCAAAGTTTATCTCTGAAACAGACTTTCTTACAAAGTTTGTAATAGAGTTAGACCTTCAATTCAGGAGTGTCAGTTTTCTAAAACTTGTTTTTTTTTAAAGGAAACATTAAAGAAGTGCTTTATATCTGAAATGTGCAACATTTTAGCTAATATCAAATAGTTCAAGTTTATTTTAAGTCACTGTAGTAGGTTTCATGGTTTATCATTGGGATATGTTGACTCTTCTGCAGCAGTTCTTTTGTTAAAACAAGACACACCCTTCTTTAGTGATCTCTGACAGATATCCTTGCAGATCCACTGACTTAGTCACTAATCCTGTAATAAACAGGAACCAGTGGCTATGTCGAATGCCTGAAGTAGTAGTTCACTTAAATTTTCCCACAATGAAAGTTGAAAAGTAGTGTACATCAAAGGTCACTAGACAGGCAGATATATCTCAGAATGCTTACCAAGAGCAGAGCCTTCACAATGCCTAATGGGGTTTGTTTTGCTGGTGTTGGAGAGCAAAGATAGAGCAGGCAATGTTCTACGAATAGACCAGAGTGTGACATAACTTACAAAGTTAATTTAGTTTTCAAAAAAAAAGAAACATTTCAGTAATATTTGGTATGTTATATTATAAACTAATAATAAATGGTAATTGTTGTGTGAGTTTGGACAGGAAGTCTAATCTGGGATGTTTTCCTGCGCCAAAGTCACGTGACCACCTGCAAGCGAAAAGTATCGGTCCTAACAGTCAGTTAACTGAATGTACTCAGTTAGGCCGGACGTTTCGACACAGACATTATATTCTGTTTAATCTGTAGCTGCACTACTCCAGTTTGCTCAGCATACAACATATTGAATTCAACACTTTTCAGGAGAGAAACAGAGCCTCTGCTTTTATTTATAACGTCACAACACAACAAAGCCTTAGGCTTGATCAAATATTGCTAGGTAATCCCAAATAATACATTGTACTCAACAGTATAAATGCTATTTTTTGAAGGTTTGGAATTGTTCCTCATCTGAGCAGCTGGAGCAGCTGAAGGAAGACCTGGGGGACTGGGTGGCTTCCTGTGGCATGCCTGGCATCTATGGAGCTACAATGGAGGACTTGCCATCCCTGCGTTCAGCAGTTGTTGAGCACTATGTTTTCCACAGGTAACAACAACTACAAATGCAATAAAAGTATTGAAGGAGATTTTTCTTTGTTTGGTTGTTATAATTAGAAAATGAAAAGACGAGAGTGTTTTTACACATTTTTTGTTAACTTACAGATTGGCCAGCATGGTGAAACAATATATAAGTGGGTTCAACTCATGTGGTGGTTTCTGGCAGGTGGTGGAAAGACACTGCATGCAGTTTCTCCCTGTGTTTACAAATGTAGGTGAGAAACTTGGGAGAAGCTGCATGCAGTCTCTCTTCATCATAAAATGGAGTCCACCTGGAAGCAACCGCAGGGAGGCTGAAGAGCAGACCATTTTCTGGTGGGATTGGTGGCTGGTTGCTATTCAAGGGATTTTTACACACCTGTCCTTAATTTGCATTTGAATCAATGGTGAGTGACCTCTCCCTATCCTTCTACAGATGGAGAAGTAGACATCTCCTTTGAGCAAATACTTGTGTTTGTGTCAGGGGCGGATACCATTCCCCCACTTGGGTTTTCACCAAACCAATCAGTTGAAATTTTTGACCAGGAACCAGGAGAGCAACGCCTGCCATACTCCTCTACCTGCAGCATCACCCTTTTCCTTCCAAGAGGAGTGGAGTGTGAGGAGCCATTTAAAGCCATGATGGAAATGTCCATCAAGGGCTTACATGGCTTTGGAAAAGTCTAACAAAAAAAACCCTGGTGATAATAAACGTTTCAAAGGTTATCCGTTTTCTGACCTTTCTTATGGTTCTCTTAGATGTACAATGTAAACGAGTTTAAGACTTTATATTATGGACTCATAGATGGTTAACATAATACAGCAAAACATACGTTATAAAAAATTAGTCCAGTCAAGATTTATCTATGTTCACCCAGCAACTTGCTTTGCACGGTTGAGGTCCGACCGGTTTTAGAGCTACACTAAATATAGCCACATAACTTTGTTGCATGAAAATGGTTAAATTAAAGTTTAAAATGACTACTGTCTGTGTCCATAGCCTTGATCTCCACTACAATAAAACAGTTCATAAACAACTTAATGAATGCTATGTTTATGAGGTTTAAGATGGATATAAAGGAGGCAGAACTGAAATTCTCATTGAAACCACCGGAAACAAAATAAAGTTATTTGGACAAATTGAAATATTGAAACTATAATTTCATCATCCCAATAAAGTGTGTAAATTAAGCATACAAGTGTAATTAAGGTGTAATCTGGACAAAAATGGCCTCAAGGAAGTGTTTGATAGGTGAGGAGCAGCAGAGCTGGTTGGAGGAAGACAGGAGGGAAGATCTTGATGACCTGGGGTGTGTGAAGGATTAGGGAACCAAATATTTGAGTTAGTGCTTACTACTTGTCAACTTGTAAAACTTAGATTAGTTGGAAAGTGTATTTTTTTAATAACAGCTGTTTAATTCATGATTCTGGCTTCCGGAGCTTTGTTAGACTAACTTACAGTCTGTAAAATTAGGTTATAATACAAACAGTAGTACTGAGGCTGTTTATTCCCTGGAAAATGGACGAAGGTACTTTTTAACAGTTTGATTAAACGGTATAATTCAACATGGAAAAAACAGAAAAACGTCCGTTTTCTCCTTTTTCTCCTCAGAAAACGATTCGTTTTCCCGTTTTGTGGTTTCTGCACATAAAACCAAAATCCATTAAACGGCTTGATTTTGGTTTTTTAGTTTTCGCCCCCAAAACGGAAACACCAGTCAATTTTCGGTTTCAGAAGTGGGCGTGGCTTTCAAGCCCGCCGGTCCGGTGCCCTTCAAAATAAAGGCATGGCATGGAGAAACTTTCGTTGTATTTCCTGCCCTCATCGTAGCTTTTGCTTGTGTTCGAAATTAAAGCAGGTCTTATACATATATAAATATATACATATATTTAGATGTAATATATATTTATATTTTTTATAGCTATAGGGTTTACTCGGAATAAAGTCATCAGAGAGATTTAACTGCGACAGAACAGACATGGTAAATTTGACACTCACGACAGGTATTTTAAATGACCAGCAGATGTCGCTGTGCATCAATGGGACAATTAATCGCAATATCAAGCGTATTTTACCACCTCATAGTCAATAAATGGAACATTTATGAAACGGAGTGCTGCGTGAGGAACTTCATTTTTGTGGCGGTAAAAAATCTGGAATTTTTTTAGAGATATATCTGGGAAAACAGCCAATACAAACAGGAGTGAGGTGAAAAAAATGATCCCTGCATTTCCATGCCTGAGATGTTTGTACCTCTACGGCAAGATAATATTGTTATGTAAATACATACTGATAGGATACTATGCAAACTCAATTTTAACAGTCTTGCCGGGGCTGGGTGATTTGATTCTGTGCTGGCGCATCGTCCTGCGCTTGAATTCAGATGTGCATAAAGGTACATGTTCATTAGTACTTTTTAGTCGCATATGAGGGGACATGTAACATCAGGGGCTTTGGCTCATACCCGTTATTTGTCCTTGTCCCTTTACAGTCTTTACGAATTAATTCTGTCCACTCCAACAAAATCTAAGAACGTGAAACTGAGTCTTTGGCATGCGTAATTACGCAGAGCACCCTGCGCAATAGAGATTTGTCTGATCAAGGCAGCGATTGAGGTGACAAACCTGTCGCTGAGAGAGGGGATGAAAATGATTATAAACGTTAAGAGGTTAGAAGTGATTGGAGTTGAAAATAAATACTTTTTGTTGCAGTAAATTCTATAAGAATAACTGTCATTCTAATTTATATTTTAAGATTCAGTAAGATCTAGAGTTTTTCAATATTTTTAAGTAATACGTGAATTATATAGTTAGAGTGAGATGTATTTAGGTTTCCTTATACCATTAAATATGAATTATTGTATGTACATACACTTACATTCTAAACAAACTTTACTATGAAAATGCAGGGTTTTGAGACGAACGCACAACGCATGCGCACTGTGGCTACAACAGGACCGACTTTCTGTGTCCAGACGTCTAAGGATCACAGAGCAACATGTAGCAGTTAAGTCATTTCACAGGTAAGTTATTATTGTTCTGTTTTATTTATTATTGTTCTAACTGTTTTTTTTTTAAATCACAGATAAAAAGTTATTTCACTGTTTGTAGGACCTTTTTTCTCCTGTGGCCCTTAAGCATTTAACTTTGTTAAGCTGTAACTATGCTTAATGAATAATTTTTAATTAACTAATTCATGCTCCGTTTGAACATGTAAATTTCAATCAAAATATAGTTGTACTTGTGAATCTTTTGTTGATTCAGATCAAGGAGGAATTCCGGAGAACAACAACCATTCCAGTGGATCAAACCAGGCAAAAACTTGACAAATACACACGAAAGCTGATGAAAGCCAGGGGAGGAGTTTTGGGGCCCAAGACGAGTTTGCTCCTGGACCGACTGAGTCAGGTGTGCTTGTTTTGCTTGTTTATATGTTTTACAGGGAGATGGACCTACTTTTTTCTGATTCACAGACAGATCAAATTCTTTGGCAATGCAGTAAAGTGTTTCATGTAGATTAACAGGACCATCCCAGTATTTTTCTGTTCTTTGTGCTCTACTAGGGATGTAACAATATTACAATACTACTCTACCTACCTCAATAACAAGCCTGTGACATGTATTGCATTGTAAGACACCATTGATGTATCAGCATTGACATAACTTATTACTTATATTTATGAAATAAAATACAATGTCTTGCTGCCCTCAGCTGCCTGTCTGTCCCCACCTCACTGACTAACTTTGCTCCTTCTCCATCGCTCCCTCAGTCACCCACTTCATCTCGCTCTTTCTCTGATATCTGGTCACACGATTGGTTCAAGACACCCCTAAGTCTTAAACTTCCCTCACATGCTCATTGTGTATTTATAATGCTTATGTTTATGTTTTTAATCTGTTCACAGAAACAGAGCATTGAGGTGAGAAGAGAAGCCATTATCTCCAGCCTTATACTGTACCATGGGAAGAAGGAATATGACTTTTTGAGGACTGCTTGGTAGGTCATGTTTTCAAACATTTAAAAATAATCTTGAACAAGGGGTTCATTTAAAGGGACATAGTGTTTGAAAGTGATTCATAAATGGGTAATTATCGCAGCATGTTACCATTGTGAAATTTCTTTCAGACACTCTGGCTAGGTTTAGGTTACCTGCTTTATATAGTTTTTAATATTTTAAATTCAAATATTGTATAGAAAGAAAGAAATGCATGGAAACCATCTGTGTTAGACCGCTGTCTCACATCAGATGGGATACCCTCACAGTTCAGGGGAACAGTTTTGTTTGTTTCTGAGTTTATTAGTTTTTGATTTGATGTTTCTGAAGCGTTAATCTGTAACAATATCTAGTATAAGTCATTTTGCCTTATGTAACTGTGGTGTAAATAATTGTATGCTGAAGTTATTAGCTTGCTACAAGAGTGATTGATTTGTAATGTTTGTATGTTACAGTTTACGATGGCTAAAGCGATGGCAGTGGTCAGAGGCCACTCTTCAATAAACAACTGAAAAGAGAAAGAAGTTTGGTTATTGGAGCGTCGTTGTCTGGCTGTCTAGCCGGCTGAAAAATTGGGAAAACTCAGGGCAAGGACAGCACAGTGATGTTAGTAACTCTGTTTTCAAAATCTGACAGCTATGAGATTATCCCAGGATGCAAGAGTACAGCGAAAGCTTGTCCACTGCTTATGGGACTGATTTATGCCCTGAACTGTGCATACCCTCCTATTTTGTGCTACACTTTTAAAGTCCTCTAAGAACTCTTGCTGGAGATGGATCAATTTAAACTCTACACAAAAGAAAACACCCTGAAGTGAAAGTTACTGTCCTGATTCTGTCTTCCTAGAGGAGGAAAATATTTCTGTAATGAATGTTTTAACTCTGACAGTGTTGTAAACTTTTCACTACATATTTAAAAAACACTGTTCCAGTTTGAATGTAAAATTTATCACTGCCCCATAAAGAAATTTAGAAATTGAATTCACACTACTAGTGGAGTTACTTATTTGTGAAGCCGTTTCTTTAATGCATAGAGTATTGCTTCATTTTATTTGTAAACGTTTATCCAGAGACAACTGGCATCAAATATATTGTTTTAGTGCGTAGTTTAACATAATGCAAAAAGTCAAAAATGTTTACTTTAATTTCATGTCATAATTACATGAATTGCCTTTAAACCTTAATGGCACATTACTTAATTATGTACAAAAACTGGAAATATGTTATGTTCTATTGTAAACTTTAAGCTATTGCCTTATGTAACTAGTTTTTACATTTCATTCCACTTTAATAAAACTTTGTGTTAAATAATGCTGTGAAGTTATTGAAATGTCAGCCTATGGTTCAGCTCGAATAAGTTTGAGATATTTAAAAAACATTTTTGCCTTTTTAAATAACTTTAACCTGGTGTTAAAGAAAAATGATTATTTGTAGTCTTTAATACAGTTAATCTTATGGCATGTGTAAAAGGTATGTTGTATACTCTCTTGAACAAGTTTGTGAAGATAACCTTTCCTTGAACCAAAATACTGAATTTAAGTTTGTTCTTGAGATTTATGGTGAGGCCCCCGCATTCCACAAGCTGTCTGTGAAAGCTTATCTTGTGTTTTATGACTTTAAGAATTCTAGATGCCAGGACAAGCTTTCCGCTTTTTCTTGTTAAAACAAAGAAGCAAATGACCCCAGATGTTTGCAGTAAATTAGGTGAAGCTCTAGGCAGTGTTAGAGATGGCTCCTGGTTGGAGGAGCAAAAGCCAGCCTTTTTTGAATGGATTAGATACAAGAGGATAAAGCTTTCTATATAGAAGTAAAAAATCAGATTTGCTCTTGCAACTCTCCAAAGATGTCTTTGCTTTATTTTCTTCTCTCCATTTATGTCAGGTAAATTGAATGTATGTCTCCGTTGTTCTGCAGTTTCTGGTGTAGGTTTGTGCATTGTCTTATTTCTAATTTTGGATTAAACTCTGTAATTCTGTGACGTCAACTAGGGGTGTAAATAATAATCGTTTTGTATCGATGCATCGATCCAAAAGCCGACGATCCGATGCATCGACACGTCCGCAAGATAATCGATTAATGTTTTTTTTTTCCCTCCGGTCTATTTTTATCCATTTGCTCCTGGGCGTAATCCTCCCGTGCTGCAATGCCGCTAAACATATTTTGCCCTCCTACCGCGCTTCCTGGTTATACTCTTACAGCAGTTTGTTGCAGCAAGCTTCACACAGACATTTTTAAATTATGCTCAGTATTGAAGCGTGGTCTGGGCTACACGCTGTGGGTCTAGATACGGCCGAGGCGATGAGGAAGTGGGGGCGAGTTTAGTCCGACGACGAAGGGACATGAGGGCAAAAAGAGCGGAGATTCAGCTGGAAAAAGCGTCCCAGCGTTCTCGCGCACCTCGCGCTTCTAGCGGGTCAAACTTCACGAGTTTTTTTCCGCAATTTCGGTCATAAAAACAAAACAAGCCGGCCTCCTGTCTGGTGCACTGTTTGCAGTCAGCTACAATCTGGGAGAGGTGCAGCGAGCGTCTCTCAAGGGGGCGGTGACGCAACACTCTGAAGCCTTCTTCTTCTTCTTTTTTTTAATGGCGGTTGGCAAACAACTTATAGGTGCATTACCGCCACCTTCCAGAATGGAGTATGGACCAGACAAACTATTATATTCTCCCTAAAATACCCGTTCTTCTTAGAAAATTAAAAATACTACCAAAAACTACATCCCCAGATGACCTTTGAAACAATTCCCTTATATCTAGTTTATTTTTATTCCTGTCTAACTCTCTACACAACATCTCTCTTTCCTGAATATATTTATTACATTCTAAAAAAATATGTTGGACAGTTTCTCTGGAGCCGAGGTATTGCATTGAACTCATTACACTGATATTGTGCAGTATTTTTGCAGTATTTTTTGATGCAACTTTTCTACTTCTGTTATTTGCTGTTGTTTCTAAAGAAAATGCATAATGATATTACAGCTTTCATTGATTTATTTCAAACTTGAAACTTTGTTTAGCCTGTAAGGTGTAAAAAAAAATAATAATAATAATAAAAAAAAAAAAATTAACCGATTAATCGATTAATCGAATCGAATCGTGGTGTATTCTTAAGTATCGAAAATAATCGAATCGTTGGGTCAGGAAATCGATACTGAATCGAATCGCCATGATGGATGTGATTTACACCCCTAACGTCAACACGCCTTGCTGGTTTTCATAGTGACCACACGCAGCTCGCCGAGTGGACCTGGGAAAGGAAGAATGAAAAGCCAACCTTTTTCCAAAAGTTAACTATTTTAGAATATTTTCTTCCTTTACAATTGGGGGCTCGTGCCGGTTCTGGAATCTCGGCGGGCGGCTGTTTGGTCCTGATTGATCCGTTTCGGCCCGACTTCGGTGTGGTAAGACAGTATTTGATTATTTTTTTTTTTCAGTTGTCTGAATCGCCGTGTGGTCGGACCGGGGCTGATTTGCTGTGTGCGGCCTCACAGAATTCAGAAGCTGCAGAGGTAGATAGAATCCCTCCTAAAAGAGTCGGTTGTTTAAGGATTTGAATAAATACACATTACAGGGAACTGTGGCTAGTTCAAACAGAGCCTTTACGTTAACCCTGATTTAAGCTGGGTTTTTTAATTATATTCTTTACCTTGAGGATTCATGCCTGTGCCTCAAAAACAGAATTTCGGGTGGTTGTGTATTGGTTAGTTTTGGCTTGTATCAGCCGGAGATTTCGACTCATCTCCAGTGGACTTATAATTATTTGGGTTAAATGGATCGAGTTGTATCACTCATGGAATAAGGACTAATAGCAGGTTAATTGGACCGAGTTGTATCACTCGTTGAAAGAAAAGGGCTGAGAGTCGGCGTAAGTAGAAGTCTGTTACAGGATGTATCACCTTCTCTGGGACTCTGAAGCGAGTTGCTAAAGAGAATAAAGGACTGAGAATAATTAATTTAGCAGGTTGAATCACCTTGAAGGACTGAGAAGTTGAAATGAGAATAAAAGGGATTTGTAAAAGTGAAATTGGAAAATTAAAAGATGCGTCATACATTCTTTTAGCCGGCACCTGACATTTTCTTTTCTTTTCTGTCTTTTCTTGACTGAACTATGACGTTGTCTATGTTTCTGTGTTTTGTAAGTTTCTTAGTGTTTGTGTGCGTTCTTGGCTGCGGGTTGATCTATGGCTGTGTGTCTGTCTTCCCCCGTTATACTGTATGTTCCACCACGCGCTGCTGTCTATTCGTCTGTCTGTGTCTGAATTGTGCTGAGATTGTGCGGCAGTGATTTGTGTTTCAAGATTGTGTTATGAAATATCGTCAAATATTTTTGCTGGATGTTGTATTACTAACTTTCTGTTAAAATGTGCTTCTGTGGGACAGAGGTGTCTCCATTTTGGTTACAAGTTGTGTTTCACAGCAGGGGGACTGATTGACCCCCCCATTTGCATTTTGGTGCTACAGAACTGAGTGCTTCAGTTCTGTTAGCACTGATGTCCAGCTCACTTTTTCAGGATTCTTGGATTTTGATGTGAATTACTTTTAGAACTGTGTTTTGTGTTAAAATGAAAAGTACAAAATAACAGATTTACAGATGTTTTTACTTTCTCAGTGGGAGAAATGTGTGGCATCAGTTCCAGGCTGGAGCACTGGAATGATCCAATTGTTTTTTTTATAATATTGTAACATTGACAATCACTTCAATTTCTAGGTTTCCTGACACAGGAGGGAACACCCTCAATGAGTGGAACAAGAGAACAAAAACAAGAACATATGGATGTTTTTCTGCTTGACAGTGTTTTCTACACTGTTAATGTGGGACATGTTGAAACACTGATGAATGACTTTGTTTCTTGTAGGACGATCTTCGTGTGCAGCCCATTTTGCATATTACATGACCACATGAACGGTTTTTGGGTTTTCCTACAGGGGGTCTAGGTAGCCATTTAATAACAGTGGGCTATCATGAAATACGGTTGTGTGTATAATATTGAGTTTTTAAAAAAGGTTCACTCAAAACTGAACAATATTAGAACTATTGGATAATTATGTCTTTTTTATTTTTTTTTCAACCATGGTGTTATAATAATTGTGTTTAAGACTTTCACAGGACGAATTTTGGTTTGAAATCTGGGGTAACATCCTGCATCTTTCTTACAATGGGGTGTTGATGAGTCTGCTTGAGTGTGAATGAGAGTGAATGTGTAGGCTGATGGCCTTTGATGGGTTTTAGGATGCTCTATGTAAATATGACCTCAGTTTAGTGTGTAGCTGTGTGATATTTTTCTTATTTTAAACTATTTAGGGACAGTAAAGGTTTTGTTTCATAAATATACTTTTATTACTGCTTTACGGACAATTTTAAGGTAATGACAATTACATATTTTGGTGTCACAATCAAAATTGTGTTATCCACTTTGACTAACAACACTAACACACTAACCTAAATTCTAACTAAATAAACTTGGTTTATATTTCATATGGGTAATTGATTGGACATGTTGAAATTTTAGCATAATGGGGGAAAGTTCTTCCATTTTTGTTGTTCCACCTCTAAATAGTTTTTCTTTTGGAAATTAGAAAACACAGGGGGATGTTATAAAGATAAGATATTACAGATGGAACT